TATGTATGGTTGCCAAAAGGGACATTTGCAAAACTTCAGCCCGATGAATATGGCTTTTCTGACATTCCAAATCACAAGGCTGTCCTTGAAACAAGCCTTCGCCAGCATGCAACTCTGTCAGAAGGTGACATGCTGAGGGTTAATCATGGTGTCCTAACATACAATTTACGTGTTCTTGAGTTGAAGCCCTCTTCAAGTGTGTCTGTTCTAGAAACTGATATTGAAGTTGATATTATTGGCTCCGATTCGAATCCAGAGAAAGCCAATCATCAAGTATTGAGACCTCTCACATTTGGGAAATCAGAATCTGGAGCTGTTGAGGAAGGGAATTACATGTATTATAAATTTGTGATAGATGATGGGACTTGGAATAGAATTTCCCCTGGGGATGCCAAAATTGAAATAAGGATAGAACCACAGACACAAGATGGAGACTGTGATATTTACGTGTCCAAGCATCCACTCTTATTTCCCACACAACACCAGCATGGATGGTCTTCTCATGACGTTGGTTCAAAAGTATTGATACTTAGCTCCAAGGACCTGAGCTTGGGCCCAGGAACTTATAGTATTGGTATATATGGCTTCAAGGGGAAAACAAAGTATCAGGCATCCGTAAATATTCAAGACAACTTGAAGCCTAAGGTGGGTCAGCAAGCTGTGTCTTCCTCGTCAACGATTGATGCAGATACTGTGGAGTGCAGTAACTGCAAGCATTACATTCCTTTGAGGACGATAGCCCTACATGAGGCTTATTGTCGCAGACACAACATTGTCTGTCAGCATGCTGGTTGTGGTGTTGTTCTCAGGATTGAGGAGGCCAAAAACCATGTCCACTGCAAGAAATGTGGGAATGCTTTTCAACAAGGAGAGATTGAAAAGCACATGAAAGTTTTTCATGAGCCACTCCAATGCCCTTGTGGAATTGTCCTTGAGAAAGAACAGATGGTAAGCAACACGCACTTTGAACTATTGTTTGTTACCTTTCCACTCTGAATATCAGCTACACGATACTTTTGTGTATTATTTTGTTGCTTCGCTGATCCTGCTAACATTTCACTGTTTTATGCTTCAGGTGCAACACCAGTCCTCTGAGTGTCCACTGCGGTTAGTTATATGCCGGTTTTGTGGAGACATGGTTCAAGCTGGGACATCTGCTGCAGATATACGAGATAGATTACGAGGACTTTCAGAGCATGAAAGTCTGTGTGGGTCTAGGACAGCTCCCTGTGATTCGTGTGGCCGTTCAGTCATGTTGAAGGATATGGACGTACACCATGTTGCTGTTCATCAGAAGAGTTAAATCTCGAAGAATATTTATGCTAGGGTTGCAAACTCGAGCAATTGCTCCAAATTTGTTACTAATGTATCTATCTTATTTTTTGGCTGCTTGCTTGCAGGCTGCAGAAATTGTAATATTTGCGAATTTCTTTTGTACCTTTTACATCTGCCATTGCAATGGAAAATAATGAAATGACGTTGTGTACTGGTATGTTTTTTTCCTCTAGTCTGGTTGAGATGTCCTACAGAAGAGAAGTTCACGAAAGAAGTTCACGAATATACAGTCGCTCGCATTCATCGTGTCATTCTCACGGGTTGCAAAAACTTTTTGTATTAGCATTTGTTACATCCTGTGTAACAAGGTGCATAAAATGAAAAGAAATACAGGATAAGAAAAAGAGAAAGAATTGCAAAACTTGTTTGAATACAGGTTCTTGTTTCCATTTTTTATTGCTCTTATATAATGTTGTGATTATGCAAGTTAATTTTATTGAGTAAAGGCCTAGAAAATCAAGCAAACAATTCACTGAAAACCTGTGAACATCTTAAATATATAAAAGGGGGAAGGGGGAATAGCTACAGTGCAGTCATGGGTCGGTTTCGACGGTAATTTTGATGACTTCGTGGGGCCGGTTTCGATGGTAATTCTGATGACTTTGACTTCGTGGGGCCGGGTGTCTTGGTCTTTCCATCAACAAAATCCTCCCAATCACATAACAAAATCCATCACCCCCAACACAGGCTACCCTGCGCTTGGTGCAGGGCCCAAAAACTAGTAATTATTAAACGCCATTCGGAGCTCAACCCGGAGAGGAGACTGGATCATCGGATCATTGGTTTAATTGCGGGTTAAGCAGTTTAACTGCAGGTTGCACAATAGTTATCTTACATAATGTAATAATATATTTTAAATTATAAAAGTAGTAAAATTTTTAAGTTAGTGGTTCAACCTGCGATTCAATTGACGATTTTTTTTATTTACCGATTGAATCACTAGATTGTTAACAGGTCAATGGATTTGTTGTTTAGCTGATTTAATTAACAACTCATCCCAGTCTTATGGCCGGTTCACCTAATTAACTGGTTTGACCGTCGAATCGGGTCGAATTTTATAACTATGCCTGTGGACAGTCCAGTATTACATCATCTTGTGTTTTAAGTTTTCGTAAACTTTATTCTAAAAATTGGATTTCCCCAACGGGTGGCTAATGGGCATTTGTAACTACACCTAAATCACACCTAACTTACCACTTTTTAATACACTAAAATCATACATAATTTATCATATGAATGTACAAATTAATAATTATTATCTTTCCTTACATTTATACACTTTCCCCACATTTCGTTTCCAAAATATGAACACCTAAAGTCTATATTGCACATTTGTTAGACAAACCCTTAAAAATTGAAGTTTTTAACCAAAAAATCTTCTATTCATAAAATATTCCCAAACTAATACAACTAATAACTTTATTCCATGTCTAGTGTATATATTGCAATGTACACGCCCAGAAAGGAAAACTAATCCCACGAAGGGTCTGTTTGGTTGGAAGTAAAATGTTTTCCTTGGGAAAATATTTTCCGTGGAAGTAATTTTCCATGAAAATCATTTCCCTTTCATCATTTTCAGGTGTTTGGTTAGCTTATTGAAAATATTTTCTTACTTCATTTTTCTGGTGTTTGTTTAACTTTTGAAATATTTTCACTTTTATCTATATCTTTACTTTTTACACATTATAACTACATACTTCTTCCCATGCAAAATAAGAAAATTTATCTCATTGTTTAACTTTAAAAAATCTTGGAGAAATGTATATATGAATAAAAAAATATCTCCTTAAGCAATAAACAAATTGCTGGCCATTTAGTGTCAAATATCAATCACATGTAATGCTTATTGTGACATATATCTTGCACTCTCACTGCTGAAAGTTTCTCTAGAAAAGAATGTCCTTATTATACATAATTAATTACTAGCATAGGATGAGCAGGATGAGATTTTTTTTTTTTATTTTGAATATACTAGGGGGAGGGTTGGGTTGGGTTGGGTTGGGTGGTACGGGGAGGGAGTGTAAGGAAGAGATCTTGGATTCGAGTCCTCCTGTTTACACTAAAAAAAAAAAAGAACATACTACAAGATGTTTTCAGTAAGTTTGGAACATACTACAGCGGGATGCATGCATTTCGGAAAACAACTTCAGTAAGTTTGGAAGGGAAGTTGTTTTCCATAAGATGAGTGAAAATATTTTACATAGGAAAATGTTTTCAGTAACTTTTGTGCAACCAAACACGGGAAATTAGGAAAATATTTTCCTGGAAAACATTTTCACCCGAAACAAACGGACTCGAAATGTTATATTTTCCATTTTTTTCATTATGATCCCTCCTCATTACATTAATCGTTCTTTTTATTTTTAATGAATGAACAAGAAAGACAGTTCACTTTTTCTCAAAACACAATGCTTGTTTTCCAAAGATCAGTGGTTAACAATCCTTGACTCTTATATTATGTTATTCTTGATATTGTCAAGGCTAAATTCATATGCTAGTAATCATGGTTTTCGAATGCAAGAGATTTTTCTTCACTTCCTTTTGCTTTTGACATGGAATTCTTTTATGTCAAATTAAATTTTGATCATTTTTTTGTCCAGAATTTATGTGCATGTGTTCTAATATAAAATACTACAAAATACTAAAATGAATAGATTTAGAACTTTATCATAGATATAATTACAAATTGCAAGAAAAAAAAGAAAAGAATTGCAATATAGTAGTTAAGCACAATTCTAAGAGATACAATGGTGGTAGTAGAAAACAAGAGTACAATTTTTAGTAGATTGGATATATCGAATAAATTTTACGCATGGTCATTTTCCTTTTAATTTGGGAATCTATGTGGAAATAAATAGATTAACGTGAGAATAAAATTTGAAACATTTCCTTTCCTATTATTCTGCGTAGCAGTTAGGATAATTAGGTGGCAATAGCAACATCATTATCGAAATAAAATTTGAAAGTGAATTACATTGAGAATATTTTTTAGAAAGATAGTTATTTTGGCAAAAAATTCTAAAATTTGTTTAGTGTGAATTATGATAAATTTATTCTTATTGTAACAAAAAATATTAAACAATAATATTAAAACCCATTCTTCAATGAGATAATTTTCCAATATTACTACCCTATTGCAACTTTTGAAAACATTTATATGATACACATAAAAAAGAGGAAAAACTTCGCCTGATTGAGCTACTGGCTCCACAGACAATATAGTTGTTACACAACTATATTATCTGCATCCAAACAAAAAATAAAAGAACTTGTATGGTTTCAGATAAGAAACGCTATTGTCACCTGTTTTTTGAATTTTAAGGTTAAATATAAGCTCATGATATGTTATCGGATCCCAAGTCATGAATAGTATGATGCTGCCTATGAATGGGGGCTAATCAAAGAGGAAGGCTGATTCCAAGACAACCAAGTCTACTATCATTTGAACTTAATCCATAAAAAGAACCCATGAAAACTTATGAACCAATTTCTACTTTAAGTCCTAATAAGTTTACCACAAGACAACCTCAAATTGTCAATTAACAGCATCAACCATCAAAAAATTCAAATTGTGACCAAATTATCCCATACAACTAAGTTCAATAAAATAAAAGTTGAACCAAAATCCAAAGTAGTTGGATCGAATTAGTCACAAACTTTTCCACTTATGCTGGTGAAAATTGAAGCTCACAAGGCAACAGTAATGTTGAATTGGATTGGTAGATATTATGTCTAAAGCATGAATCAGTAGATGGTACATGCAGTCCAGACCTAATAAAAATGAGCTCTTTGAGGGACTCCCTTTCTTCTGCGCTTTGGCCTTTCAACAATTGTACACTCTAGTGATGAACCCTCCATCTCTTTTCTCTTCCTTGAAAATGCTTCCACCTATAGATATTCAAGTGAAAAGAAATAAGAATGCATAATCACGATGAGTCTTTAAATTCCGACTAAATAAGAAAAGGATGGTACAATGTAAAGCAACAACATATGGAGTAAAGAGTCATTAATTGCCATGTATTCTTTGAACTTTCACTCAATTCCAAGTAACACCAACAACTTGAATCATGGCTTTACACTACCTTGGAATATTAATATGATAAAATTTGCTTAGACTAAACCAAAAAAATTTTTTTTTTTTTGCCCATTAATATTTAAAAGGTACATCTAATCCAATTGATATTTCATTGATTTTCTTATGTACTCTAACTTAAACACATTTTTCATCCTTTTAAACTCCTCTATTCAACAATGCCATATCACAAGTTGTCTTTCATACTCCTACCTCTTATATCTTTCATTACAATCATCCTTAGATTCTAATCTACATCTATTTCCCACTCTCTCAAAAGCCCTTTCTCGATGCCAAATCACATAAGTTACCTTTTCAACCACTAACTCTTGAATCTTGGGTCTAAATCACCCTTATATGGTGACGATACTGAAAGTCCCCTTATGAAAACATCCTCTTTATGTTACTTACTAGAATGTCAGCACCTATTTGTAGCCAACATAGATAGATTAGCCTATTCCTATATTGTTCTATTTTTATATTTTGCAAGCCCACTCCTAAAGTCTCAATATCTCATCCATGTCTCTACTTCACCATTCTTCTTTTCTAAAACCCTCATTTTAGCATGTTTTATAGTAATATAACCTGATAAATATGATGATCCTAAAGTAATATTATAAAGATAGTTTATGATAGAACAAGGAGAAAATGTATGCTTATAAGTAGAGAATTACTATAGTCTTTCCTTTATTTTTTTAAAATTATCTCTTATGGTCCAAAATGACTATAAGGCCATGGTAGTGATAGTGGATGGAGGGAGTATGTAGTAAGGGAAGTCAATTTCTCATACTTGCAAAATATTCTACATATGAAAGAGATGCATTGCACTTATATACCAATCCCTAGAATTAAATCCACCTATTTATCTAAGTACTCCAAGAGTTAGTTTAGCATAATTGAGAGATGGGCGAATTGAAGTTTTGAATTTGTCCAACAAGTTATTTTGTAAGCACCAAAAAAAATCTTAAAAATACCAAAATATGTATATCACTTGCTACTTTTTTGTATAGAACATAATTTAAATCATTTTACTATTTATGTTAGTTTCATTTTGTAGAATAGTAATGCCATTAGACATGCAAAAGTAAAAAGTATACCTATGGTTTTGAACTTTTTAATTTTTTTTATACTTGCAAATGAAATTGATTGGAAAATTTGAACTATAGAAATCTCCCTACCACTCTCCCATTTAGCAGCACATTGCAGGATTCAAAATCATGTATTCACATAATAGAATTTTTTATCCTTTAACAAAAGGAACTAAGAGATGTGTTACCATAATGATGCAACCTTAAAAAAAATACAAAACAATGTGAAAACTTACAGAAGAATTGATTTCTAGTCTATTCTACCTTACAGGCAATACAACAATAGCGATACTGATCAGGGTCATTCAATCTTCTCTTACACACATCACATGATACATCTCCCTCAATTTGTGCACCTGAACCACAGTGCGGAAGAGGATTCAAAGCAACAACCCATTTTTTGTTGCATTTGTATGGCTGAATTGGAAAAATCAAAAATCAAAAAAATTTCATCAGCATAAGAGAAAAAGTAAGATAAGGGCGCCTTGTTTGGCAGCCATGTTTTTTGCCAAGTTTGTCTGCTACAAGTTTTTAAAAAACTTTAGCTACAGTAACCTCAAAAAATTTTTCAAAAATTTTAAACTATACACTTTAAAATATTAAAAAAAAACACACTTCAAAATTTTTTTAAAAAACTTCTACTGTAAGCTACAGTAAAGTTTTAGACAAACACCCAAAAAACTCACTTGCCAAAGCATGAATGTGATTTATTGCTACAAAACAAGCTATCCTTAGAACTCATTACTATAAGTATGATATATCATTGTAAATATGATAGTGGATGTATATTAGTTTTATTTATTGCCATCACCATGCAAAGATATGTAATCATTTGTACATATTTTCTTGATAGCTAGTAGAGAGTTTTGTCTTTCTTCTACTTATGATTTTTTAGATTGCTAGCAGCCCTAAGTTGAGTTCAACATGAGGCTACAACAAGATTATTTTAGATTTGATAAAAATACCTTGAATTTGCTGTTAAAGGTATTTCGCTTAGTCGACCAAAAACTCAAAAAATCCAGGTCCATAGATTTTGATCTAATATATTTGTTCTACACCTTGATCTGACTTGAAAAGATAATAATTTCATTTGGGGTGACAAATTAATTCATATTCACACCACATTCACAGAATTTTCATCTTTTTAGTATTAAAATGATTAAGAAGTCCAAAATTGTGAATATAAGGGCATTAAATTTTAAACAAACTGTCCGGATATAGGTTGTGAACAAGACGAAGATAGGTACTTCATTTAATTTTTCACAATATACCTTTTAATGGATTTCATATATACATTGAAGACATCATGTTTATAATTTTAAAAAGACATGGTGTCTTGGCCATTTAAGATTTTATCCAAAACTGATATAGTACTTATTTAAAAATAATTTTGATGTAAAACTTTTATATGCATTAAAAGTAAATATAGAATAGTGGAATTGTATTTTACTTTCAAAATTTTCAAAACTAACTGAGAAAAGTTCTTTGTTTGACAAACAAAGAAACTCCACAAATCCTACTGACGAGACATATATATATATAGGTTACTTGTTAAGTTTCACAAAAGTGTATTTGTAGAATACCTTTTTCTTAATTAAAATTATGGGTATGCCATCATTATTTTTCTTTTTCTAAAAACATTTTTGTCATATAACAACTAGTTTAAAATGCAAAGAAATATTTTAAATAATGTCACATTAATGAAAACTCAAACTAATCTTTGCCATGAATATTGATTTAATATCTTCAAGAATAGAAAAGAAAGTTTCATAATGCAATTTTATCTCTTTGACTCATTATCATCCTACTATGATACCTTTTAAGCAATAGCAAAAAAACAAAACAAATTTTCACATTGTCTTGATTTTATATCAGAAAATTGAACACCCAAACAGATAATAAAAATAAAGTATAATTCAGTCCTTTTGAACAACTAAGAATTTTCTAGGTGAGTGATGACCTCAAATTGAATTCTCTCTAGAGCTAAATAATAATCATAATTGAAGTACTTTTTCAAGTGAAGGCAAATGAAAGTAAACCAAACAATTTTAAAAGATTGGGATAGATATAAGTTTTCTTATAAAAATTTTTTAACAAACTTTGTAGAAGAAAACTAACAAGAGAGAGGTCTCCCTATGAATAGGCCAAGAGCATGAATGTTTCATCAAAATCAAGGCCAAATGATATAAGTTTCAAAAACTAGGCTCGAAGTCAAAGTTATAAATCTAGAAATGATTGTACTAGGAATTTTGGAATACAATTTCCCTTATGAAATCATACAATGCCTATAGAGATATTTAAAGTTAGGTGAAAGCCAGTGAATTAGAGCTAATTCAATACCATTAGTAAAATCATGGCAATTTCAAAAAAATATTAGGATACTTAAAATAAGTAGCTAAACTTGTGTTTCAAAGGTTGTTATACAGTGGAGTAGGCACCATTCCAACCAAATTGTTATGGTACATTAACCGTATGTTTGTTTAGATGGAGTACCTTATGTTAATTTAGACCAGATGAAGTTTCCAAAATGAAGAACAAACATAAATGAATCTATCTTGAGCAACTTCTGAGAACCTTGAGAAATTTACCAACTATAGTATTTTTTATTTTGAGTATAATTAGAAACAAATTAGACATTTGATTAAAAGTATGCAGTTTGAAACAAGCAGTTTGAATCAAACTAGACATTAAGCAAAATTTTAGAGAGTATTTCTACTTAAAACGAATTGAATTGGAGATTTTGAGGCATTCAAAATCCAATCTTTTGATACTTACTTAGATACTAATATAAATTTAACATGTTTGATGTCATGTGACTATGTGAGGCTAAATATATTCAAACATGCCCCCTTACTTAGTAGTCAGTAGTGTCAAAAATACAAGATTTGGTCAAAACAACTACTAAAAGACTAGAGTGGTGTAAAACCATAGTTCTTGGATAAATAATTGCAAGAAATAAAAAATTAGACAATTAATCTAAATGGCTCTCAAATTATATAATTAGTTGACTTTTAGCCCTTCAACTATGAAGTGCATATTATTACCCCCTCGAACTTATAAAAGGATATAATTTTCACTCTTTTGGCTAGAGATAATTTCAGAAACCTCCCCCGAGATTTATGACAATATCTCTTAACACCTTTGAAGTTTCAAGAATATCACTCAACTACCATATCAATGAGATGGGATTATTAATCACTATCATAGCACGAGAATTCACAAAACTATCTTCACTACTTTAACAATTTTTAGGCAAAATATTACAGAAAAGAAAATTTTTAGGCAAAACATCTGATATTATAATCAATTTGGTAGAAAATTCGGCATAAGACAATATAGAAAGGTAGAATTGGGAGGAAAATACATCTCTCTTATTAATGATACAAGGTGAGATTGTTACAAAAGGTACAGTTTTAGGTGAGATTAGTGATATTTTTGAAACTCTAAATGTGCCAAGTAATATTAACATAAATCTTGAGGAAATTTTCAAAATTGTCTCTAGCCAAAAGGGTGGGGAATATAACATTTTACTAGTTCGAGGGTAAAAATATATACTTAATTGTTGAAGGGTTAAAAGTTGATCAACTTAATAGTTTGAATGCAATTCAGATTTTTTGCCCTGAAAAGTTCTAGGACTAAATTCTTTATAACGAAAAGAAATTAGTTGTCTTTCAAAATAAAAATTGTATATCTTATAGATCATCCAACTTTTGGATATGAGGGTAGAGCAATTTATATAAGTAGAATGAAGGTCTTTCTAAATACAAGAGAAAAATAAGGCAAGATCAAAAGCATAGATGAGATATAAATTTTCCATAGACCTATTGGCCCGAAAAGCTACTTGGACAAGGTTGAAAATTGAAAGCCTTATAATTCACATTTTTCATGGAACCAAAAATGAAAACTAATATAGTTCATATGTCTATTACTTTTAAAATTAATTCAAACTACCTGGATCTTGGTGCAATCCATATGAGTCTCCATCTCATCCAAGGGGACAACATCTTTGTAGACATGCCGATGTATTTTGAGTAGCGTGTGTTCGTTATGTAGACCAGATGAGATACAATACCTGCAAGCATCTAGATCACAAGTGATGCAGTACCTATTCAATTCATTCTTTTGCAGCTCATGGTTCAAGCAAGATCCAAAAAAGGTCCTTTGCAAGAAGGAGTCGAGCCATTTTGGGAAATTTTCAAATTGCACATCCATTTCTTCCTAGAAAGCAATATATGGCCAAAGTAGAATAGGTAAGTTTTTGCTGAGATTATAAATTTCAAGTTTTAAGGTATTATACAATATTCTGTTAAATTTAGAAAGAAATCCAAGAAAAAATATGTAGCATGAATGTTGTTGACATTTTTATCTTAAAGATGTTCTGACAAACATTTGATAAGTAACAACAATAATAACGATGAATAATAACGATGAGGGCTGTCCTCTTTAACCAAAAAAAAAAAAAAAAAGATAAGTAACAACAATAACAATACTAAATTAACTCCTAGTTTTTCAACTAAATTAAGAGAGAATAAAACTTCCTCAAGAACTAAATATAACACCTATTTCTTTTAAGGAATCAATCAATGTATGATACCAATTTGATTTTAGGAATAATTTACCATATAAAATTAACAATCAAAACAGGAAGATATTAAATATGATTGGTTTCTTAAGCCTATGTAGACCTAGTTTAGAATACATCATATAGTTGTAGATGCATGCATATATACAAAAACAATTAATCATAGCTATATGCCTTGAATTTGTTATCTCAGTTTCTAAAATTGTAATGACCTCTATCAGATACTTCAATTTACTTTTCACATTGAGAAACCTTGATGAAGGTTGTTATAATTTTGCAATTATTTGGCTGTCTTTTGGTACAAACAATTCAATTACAAAATACAAATCCTTGTATCAAGTACAAATTTAGAAGACTATGAAATTAAAATTTTTAAGATAAATGAAGGTCCTTATTTCCTCATGCAATTGATAGAAAGTAATTTAAGAGAAAAATATCATACTAAAATGAGTAAAGAACTTCTAAACATCTAGTGCTTATAAGTTGTTTTCATATTTTCTACAATTATTTCTTTCTTTTTAGAACTTCACCCACTTTTAGATGTTGATGAAGAAAAGTAGTCTTGCTAGTGGATTACTTCTTCTTCTAGTTCTATTTAGATAAAGTTATTAGCGAAGTTGTATAAGTGCTTCTTTTTATACCTTTATATTAATACTTGTCATTAAATAAAAAATCAAATATTTGTTATTCAAAATATCATGCTTTATGGCTAACATGTTCGAAAAATTATCTACATAAGTGCCAATATCAATTTAATTTTTGTGTTAAACTTTATTAATTTGCTGTTAGGTTCAGGGTTTGAATCCTAGATCTCGTAGTTGGGGATGGAAAAAGAGTGGGGAGCGTTGGGAGGTAAAAAAAAAATCCATTGATTTGTATCTTCACCAATTTGGTTTGCCACTTGGCAAATAAAACACATATTGACTCCTAAGTAGTACTTCTCTGAAATTATTATTTCTACCATGGAAATAATTGATAATTTTTTTGTGAAGTTGAAATCAGAAATATATGTCAATGCCTCACGAAATTCAAAATTTACAGTTAATAGATAGTAAAATATCTAATGAATAATTAGTTATCTAAAACTTGCTCTTCTCTTAAATTTTTGATTGAACAATCAAGAGGATAGGTAAAAACCTACTTTAATTGTCAAGGAAAAAGTGCCTTATAAAATATTTTATGACCAATAAGTTCTACTTCATAAAAATAATACGAAGAAATATCATGTAGATTTAACAAAAAATCTCATCCATATTTTGACTTCTCAATGAAATTATAAGGATAATGTAGTCATGCAAAAAAATATAGATAATAATATATCATATTATTCATATACATACAAATTTGTATGCATATATTTATGTAATGTGTTGATGGTAACTATCTACAAAGTTAGGTAATTAATATCATTCTAAAGTCTAAAGATACCAAGGTTCACATTAACGGACACTAAGAGAGAATTTTAGGTTATTATAACAAAAGGAGAAAATAATATTAAGATTGTAATTCGAGACCGGAGTCGAGAACGAAGGCCAGAATATTCCATTAAGAATTTCCCAATGCCCTCCTTGTTGCTTTAGCAGGATGCTTTTCAAAATACTTTCTTCGCTTGTCCAAGTAGCTTTAGTTGTTTCGTCTAATGTTTTTTTTTTTTAACTTTAACAAAGCCTCTTCAGGTTAGACGGATCAAAGCAAAGTTTAGCCCTTGTTCTCGTTCTAATAGTCTTAAGAAAGTTAAGAGAGTTTAAGAGAGTTGGGTATGTAATCAACGAACAAAAATCATCAGGAAAATATAGCTAAAAAGTTACCAAATAAAATCCTAATGGTGAAAAAATGATACCCTAACGAAGAACTATAAGAAGAACAAAAACAAAAAAAAAAGCCTTATAAGCAACTATAACTTGCAAAAATAGTGGCCCGAAAAGAGAGGTCATAACTCGCAGCATAGCTTCCTAACTCAAAAATCAAGCATTCGTGGTTGGTATGTTAATCCATTTAATTCCCGAGAAGAAATGGAGTTCCTTTATTAGTTGTAAGAAAGATAAGGACTCTTGTTTCATGTATCATGCACATAAACTCTTTCAGTTTCCTATAATTGTAAAAAAAACAAGAAAAGGAATTCTCATTCAAATTCTAATCTATATTATATGTAGATGACTATAGAAAATATATACTTTGACTATTAAGCTATTGTAGGGATTAAAAAGTAAAGCCTATATGATACAACAATACAAATATCATATTCTTTAAGTGTATGTAAGTTCATAGTTTATGGATAGGTTATTGCTCATCATCTCCCATATTCAAGTGTAATTTATATTTTTGGCTATTTGCACTTTTGTCGATTACTTTTAAGTAATAACCATTTAAGCTAATAATACATATTTTGATAAAGTTAGGCATGGGTGTTAGTACAGACACTTACCCTAAAGAGGCACTTACCCTAAAGAGGCTAGGAGTTCAACTTCCAAATTTTCAAGTAGGAGAATTTTGAAAGGGATTCTCCTAATAACTAGAAAAAATTATAATTGGGTAAAAAAAAGGCTTTAATAGTCTTCTATATGATTATCAAATAATTATTGTTCTTAGAGAGTTCTAATAGCATATAAGTTTCTTATTTCTAAGTTCAAACATCTCTAGAATCATTAGCAATACATATTAATATAATATGTGTGCAATAAATTTGTGATAAAAATTAAATTAATTACAAGAAAAAATTTAATAGAGTTATGCCAATTGCACAATTATATATGATGAGATCTTGAATTATTTATAGTACACTTTTCAAGTCCTTTGTGTGTTCATCTCACATCAAGAAGATCAAGACACATTTATAGCTCTTGTATCAACCAATCTAGAAGTTAGGATAGGCTATACATCAAAAACTACACATCAGACTATATTCCATGAAACAATAGGTTAAATTTAGACTGTCAGACAATTTTTCCGTGCATAAGAAATGTTGATTTTGATGAATTTACATAAAAAAAAATGTTGATTTTGATAAAATTACATATCACCAATATAGTACTTGAAATCATCATGTTGATTACCAAATATTGAACAATGGCCACTTCAATTCATTGCAGATATTGAAATTAAAAAATTAATCAATACAATTTGGTTGGATAAGAACTATTTGAAGGTTTACGTACCTGTTGGTTGAATTGAATGGAAAATCTAGCCCTTATTTTCTTCTTTCTTTTATCGAATTCTTTACTAAAATGAAATGGGAAAGTGTAAACATAGAATAGACAACAAAACTCAAATTATTTTGAGTAAAATTTATAGTAAAAAATCCTAACATGTGATAATGTTGAGATAAAAAACATAAAAAAGAGGACAAGAAAATAAGGGCCCACCTTGTATAGTACTCTACCTGGCATCCGTTACAAGTCATAAAACAATGGGCTCCGTATGAATTTTCCTATTTTTGAAATAAGCGTTTTTGTTTTTGGAGTTTACAATAATACAATCTGAAAACAACCTTAAAAACACCCCAAAACCACTTCAAAATTTTTAAATACACCTAATAGAAATACATACATACATGCATGCTTGCATACATATATATATGTGTGTGTGTGCGCTTGCGCGTGCATGTATATATGTATGTATACATGTGTGTATACATAGACACACACCAAATCATACCCTCTTTTTTTCTCTTATCCATCACCCATCACCACTACCTACCACCACCCAGCACTACCACCACCGCCACTTCCCCTCCTCTTTTCTCCCTCTTTTCCCCCTTCTCCTTCTCATTTCTCCTTCCTCTTCCCTCCTTGTTCTTTCTCCATCTTCCCCCTCCTTTTTCCCCTCCTTTTTCTTTCTCCCTCTTCCCCTCCTCTCTTCTCTCCTTCCCTCCTTTCCCTATTCCAGCGACCAAGTCTAGTTGCGAAAATGGGAAGGGGGGATGGGGGAAGGGAAGGGAAAGGGGTGTGAGAGAGGGAAGGAAAGGAAAAGGAAGAGGAGAGAGGAAGAATGAGGAGAAGGAAGAAGAAAAAGAGGGAGGAGAGAGGAGTGGCTAGATGGTTGCAGTGGTGGGTGGAGGTGATGGCGAGTGGTAATGGTGGGTGATGGTGGGTGGTTGTGGTAAAGACAGTTAAATAATTGTTAATAATATCTCAATAAAATTTTAAATTTTAAAAAGCACCCCGACAAATAACTATAGTGACAAGTTTTTCACATACATTACTATAGTGTAAGTTTTGGAAAACACCCCCAAAAATACTGAATTCATACAATTCTTCCACTTAAAATGGAAAATATCAAAGGTAAAGAATATTATATTTATACATATCTTTAAAAACTTTCCATATATATAGACACATATCACATTAGAGACCAAATTTCTTTTCTTTTGTATATTTAATCAATATTATCTCAAATTTTAAAGTTTTTATGCTTTTGTTAGATCACTTATTTGTCCTTCAAAATTTTAAAAACATAAAATGTCTTGAACATGAGTTGTCATTTTTAAAGAACTCAAGTACCACATATTCCTAGTTTGTTAGTTTGATTGCTTGTAAGACTCCAACTCTAAATAATATACAACTTCCCACTATTTATTTCAAAGTTTGTGGTACAATTTGCATAATCATTTAAAACACTGTAAACAACAAAATGAAAAGAAATTAAAGGGTAAATGTGATAGTTAATGTATATATAATTCAAATCCCCATATTTAGCTAACTGTGCATTTGTAAATTTTCTTTAGAAAATTAATTCAAATCTTTATAGGATTTTTATAGGTGAATCAAGATCAAATGATTCGAGTAAAAGTTGTTGTTGTGACGACTCCATTTTTCAAAAATTTATATTTTATGAGTTTGCCTACGTTGGATTACTTTTAAACTAATCTGGGGTTAGCAAAAAAAAAGAGTTAAGAACTTTAGTGTTCTTTAATTTGAATTATTTGCATGTTTGGACCAACTCATGAGGTCAATTCATAGATTTAGATTTTATTTAGGACTTCATCATGACCTGCCTCAAAATTTGGGGACCAAAATGTAGAAAGAACAAGTGGCAATAAGCAAGCATGAGCTATTGCCCTTTAAACCCTTCCACGGAGACAAACAACCAACAAGGAATTGGTGATTTCACATTAGACTGAATAGCAAGACTTCCAAAGTTTTGTTGAAAATATAACAAACAATATCGGCAAAAGGGGAAATGAAAGCTAGACTGGTTTTGGAAAAGAGCAGAAGAAAAACAAAAGCAAGGAGTGGCTTAGGTAAAGAATAGAAATAGCATAAGTTTGGCTGCTAGAAAAGAGGAAGGAAAAATAGAATTCAATAGCTAGAGTTTTGAAGAAGAATAGCATGGCTTCAAGCTGATTTCACATTAGACTGAATAGCAAGACTTCCAAAGTTTTGTTGAAAATATAACAAACAATATCGGCAAAAGGGGAAATGAAAGCTAGACTGGTTTTGGAAAAGAGCAGAAGAAAAACAAAAGCAAGGAGTGGCTTAGGTAAAGAATAGAAATAGCATAAGTTTGGCTGCTAGAAAAGAGGAAGGAAAAATAGAATTCAGTAGCTAGAGTTTTGAAGAAGAATAGCATGGCTTCAAGCTGATTTCTCTAGGCTTGCTAAGGTGAGGAGTTTCTGATCAAATCCATTCATTTCTTAAACTGGTTTAAAATGTTTCCAAAATGAGGACTTTCATACTAATTTATTATATACTCAGTATACTTTTGTTTAGAATGGATTATAAATGAGTTCTATATGTATCCCGGAAGACCTTGAATTGAATTTGCATTGAGCAATTCGTATGCAAAAGCTTGTAAAGAAATCCGAACCAGTAGAAGTAACAGTTTTCCTTGCACAGCTTTAGCAAATTGGCCATAACTTGGTATAGAAAGGTCAAAATCAAGTGTTGTCAATTGCGTTTGAAACGAGACTTGAAGAGCTTTCTAACAGGATAAAATTCTAGTACTAGTCCATTGTCCATAAACGCCAGAAAACCCGACAACTTGGCTGAAAAATGGAACTCTGCATCGGTTATGACTGGAAACTATTGAATTTTGACTGAATTTAGACCCACTTATGGTCCCCGTCGCAGAACAAAATGTCTTCTGCAGATTTGTAGTACCCTGAATCTAGTTTCTAATGGCATTAATTTTAAAGTTTTTGGACAAATATAGTTTGGGTTATGTTAGTTTATTTAAGTACTGCAATAGCTGCAGAGGTTACAATCATCCCCGAGTAGCCTTGGGTAAAAGGCCATAACTTGGTGTTGAAAAGTTAGAAGTGATCATCGTTGTTGCGTTGTAAACTAGATGTATAGAATTTTTCATGAAGCAAGTAAAAGAATCCAGTAATGTTCCGGGGAAACTTCACTTTCAAACTCAACCAAAACCTGCCTCTGCAATACTTGATTAAGTCCTGTAAGATCACACATAACTATTTAATTTCATTTGGAAATCTTCATATGGATCATGCATAACTTCATATGGAAATCTTCCCCATACTTCTTGCGTGTATATATACTTAATAAATGGAATTTTTCTTTTTAATACATGGAGTTTGTAAGATATTATATTTATTGAACTCATTTCACCATGCACCCTTATTTTTTATTTGTACCCTAGAATCTATGAGTATCATACATTTTATGCTCCAAACTTTCATTTCACTCTCACTTTTTTTTTTTTTTGTGCACAACAAAAAAAAAAAAAACAAATGGCTTTTTATGCATGTGGGCGTCACAAATATGCAATTGACAAGTCAATTTTCACTTGGCATTTAACTGGTTTCTCGTCTAGTTTGTACTGTTAAAAGCATATTTTGCACACATTGCACATTCTATTTGGTTCAACTTATTGTCCTAAATTCTTTAAACTTGCAAATAGACATGCATTGTATTAAATATAACCACTTATAAGATTACTTTTGTATCAAACTTATAAGATTACTTTTGTAAGCTTTATATTTCTATAGTTTTAATAACTATATATTAATTAAACCATAAAAGCTTGGAGTGCAAATGCCTAAGTGAGCAGTAAGACGTGCATATAATATAATATAGGCGTTGCTGAAATTAAAGGGCAATAAAATTATTCAAGAATGATTTCAATATTAACAACTAAACTTATTTGACTTATTGTTAATTTTGTGATAAAGTATATCATTGTAACAGTATTTCAATCAGTTTAAACTTGTATGTAGCTAATGTTTATTACACACTCAATGAGCGTGCTTACTTAAAAATGCATATTTTTTCTTGAAAATTATATATATTCTTTAGTATAATAGAATAAGTTATTAAATTAAAAATATCATGAAAGAGGAAGAAATGGAATTTTGAAATTTTGACACAAAAAAATGTCATGGAAAAAATGAAGGAAAATTTTGAAGTTCTAAAATTTAAGTGGAATCAGAGTAAATATGGAACGGCATATGGTGGCAAAAATTGTTAATACCATAAGCATGCTCTACCTTTATATTATAGTATGGAAGTTGTTAAACCACAAAATGACTGGGATGTTTAGGTGCTGTTTGGATTGCTATTTTTAGGAATTTTTATAAAATAATATACCATAATGATTTGATGTATGTGAAGTAAAAAAGTGATTGCAAAATGTATTCACGAAAAACATAAAAAATTTTCTGTAGAAACTAACAATAACAATATACAAGTAGCTGTTGATTATCTTGTTCATAGATGTCTTCTTGTTCTGCCTATCAATATTTGACTATCTCATCTTATAGTCAAATACTAAGTAAAAATCTATATCCCAGTAGTGGAGCTTAAATAGGTCTGTTAATTGGGTTATAAGAATTGGGCTTTGGTGGGCTCAAGCTCAATTGATTAATTTGATTTACAATTGCACCCTTTTAGCACATTCAACTAGGCTCACAAACATAGGATCAGGCCCAATTTGAATTAGTCCAAATTCATATCATGTATGAGGTTTTCAAGCTAATGAAATTTCTTACTCCTGTTTTCTCAAGCACATAAATCAATTCCAATAATCATAAAGAAAAGCCAGCTAAGCACATAAATCATTCATATCTAATAATATGATACAATGGGTCCACCCAAAAAGTTAACATCTAATTCTAAACTAAGGTGCAAGATTAACACAAATTTGCTTTTCATGGCCCAAAACAAGTATTTCATACTGACAACATTCATAAGCCTTTTTTTTTTTATTAATCTTGTATACACTGACAGTGTATATATTTTCATCATTGGATGCACGATATATAATCCAA